GGGGGGGGTGCGGGGGGGGGGGGGGGCCTCACTGCTGCTTAGTCAGCACCTTATCCCAGGACTCCCAGATTTGAATTCCTGCATCTCCAAGATCCTGGCAAATCCAGCCCGAGGTCCTGAGCCTTGGGATCCCGGTGTTCCCACTTGGAATTGTAGGATGGGCATAGATTTTTCTCACTTCTCTGCCTGACCCGAGCATTTTCATTTCTGGATTCCTTTTTTCCCAACTCACATGTTGGGCCTCAAACTCAGGCCCTTCTCCAGGGGCCCAGTTCAGCCACCAAAACTTCTATCCAGGCTCACGTGACCCAGGGGACTGGGCCATGGGCTGGCGATGAGGATGGTGAGGAAGGGAGAGGAGGGAGCTCCCTTCCGACCATCTGGACCTACAGGGGTAGGGAGGGGTCTGTCAACGCAGCTGTGTACCAGGTGCTGCCAGGGCTGGCCGATCACGACTGTCTGTCTTGTTGCCAGGCGGAGACCGCAGCCAATCGTATCTGCAAGGTGTTGGCCGTCAACCAGGAGAATGAGCAGCTTATGGAAGACTATGAGAAGCTGGCCAGTGATGTGGGTACTCCCTGGGTTCTCCTGACTTGGCCTCGCAAGGCCCTGCCCACCCTACCCTGAGAGAAAAAGAGCCCCCAGAGCCTGTACCTTCAAATCCATCCCTGGGGCATAGTCCCGGGCTGGGTGTAGTTCATGTTCCCAGCATGGTTAACCCAGGGCAGCTTGTGCTTTACTCTGGCTCACTTAGCAGCTCACTTAGTGGCTGGATCCACCTGGAGACAGAATGGGACAGTGCTGGCTTTGCTGTTCTGCCATTGGCTACATTGGGTAAAGGCTGCACTTCTGTCTTAAAATAACTCAGCCTTTTGAGCTGCTCAGCCCAGCCTCTGGGTGGATCTGCCATCCAGCATAGTCAGAACCCAAGTTCTAGAGCCCACATGCCTGGGTTTAAGTTCCTGCTCCAGTCAGGTCACCTTGGCACACCAAATGACCTGGCAGTGCCTTGGTTACTTCCTCCATAATGTGGGGATGATCACAGCACTTAACCCCATAGGATTCCTGGCATTATTCAGATGAGTTCATTCCTGCAACATGTCTGGCACCTTGCAGGTGTTCAGAATATTTCCTGTTGTCATTTCCATTCCTCCTCTGTCTTCTGCACCACCATCACCCTGGCTCAAGGGAAACAACCCAGACTATTATTCCCTGCCCCAGGAGCTAGTTGGGAACCCACATTCTAGAATCCTAGAAGGTCAGGTGACAAGGACCTCGGGGAATAGCTGTTAATCCCTTCTGTGGTATAGATGGGGAAAGAGGCCCAGCTGGTAGGACCTACAACTAGGACTCAGGTCTCCTGCCTCTTAGTCAAGCCATCTTCCCACCAGGTTCTTCCTGTGGCAGAGCAAGGAGGTTGGGTGATGCTGGCTGTGAGTTAGCACACCCTGGTAGCTAGGCTTCACCAAGCCTGCGGTTCTCAGAGGGAACACGCCGGAACCTGCCTCGTGGCCTGGGGATGCCCTAGCATGTTAGTTGGGAAAGAGCATGCTATCAGGAGAGACCCCCTTGGGGGCACAGGGAAGCCTTCCTTGCACACTCCCAGCGTGCTTGCCCCCCACCCCCAGCTATTGGAGTGGATCCGCCGCACCATTCCGTGGCTGGAGAACCGAGTGCCCGAGAACACCATGCAGGCCATGCAGCAGAAGCTGGAGGACTTCCGCGACTACCGGCGTCTGCACAAGCCACCCAAGGTGCAGGAGAAGTGCCAGCTGGAGATCAACTTCAACACGCTGCAGACCAAGCTGCGGCTCAGCAACCGGCCTGCCTTCATGCCTTCCGAGGGCAGGATGGTCTCGGTGAGCACCGGGCAGTGAGCCTGGTCCCCCAGCCTGCATCACCTCCATCCCTGAGCTGCTCCTAGTCATGACCAAATGTGGCGCCATGGGCAGGGGAGGGAGGGGGTCGTGTTTTCTTCTGCCTATGGACACCGCTCTTGGAATCACTTCTCCCTTCCAGATTTAACCCAGGCTCGAGCCAAAAGTCAGTGATGTGGGGCGGCTGCCTCTCCCCTCACCATTCAGAAGGGGCGTGCCCTTCTGGACCCCTGACCTCCCCAGCACCACCAACCAACCCCCTAAAAAAAATCTTTGTAGACAAGATGGCTCTTGATGGATAGAACCAAGCAGAGCATAACTCAGTAGCAAAGATAATTTTTACTTCCATGAAGTCTTAAGTACTTAAAAAAAAAAAATTTATTAAATAATTTTTTGATAGGATATTTCAAAGATACAAGTAAGCAAAAATACAAAAAATAGAAATTATTCATAATCTCACTACCCAGTATCAACTTAAAAGAATTTTTTTTTGAAAAGGTCCTTTTAGTCTTTCCACATAAATATATTTTTAAGGGAATCCCCAAACTTTTTTTATATAATCTGCTTTAAAAAAATTATTATTGTTATATTGTGACCAGCTTTCCATGTCATGGAATACTCTTCTTTTATGTCACTTTTTGTTATTCATCTCCTTTTTTCCTGTCCTCAGGACTTAGGGAAAAGTTTTATAAGCCAGAGAAACATGTAGAATAAAATTAACAAACGTACTGAGGCAGAGCTTTTTTCTTCCTTAAATTGAAGACAGGCGAGTATGGCAGGACTAGTAGAGGAAGGGGAGCACGGACAGCTTTGGAAGCAGGCAGGGTCTGAGGGAGTCTTGAAAGGAAAAAAAAAAAGGGACTTTGACATTACATGTGCAATTTGGAAAACTGCAGTCCTTTTACTGCCTCAAAGGCTGAATCAGTAGCTTTAGGTGGCCAGAGCCACTGCTAGCCAAAGAGTGCTGTGTGAGAACTAGAAAAAGTGCCCCTTCCCTAGTGCAGAGGCAGCCTGGCCATGGCACGTGGTGGGGAGGGTGACAGGCTGGCAGGTTCGGCCCCTGGTGTTGCTCAGCTGGGTGCCCTTGCGCTAACTGCAGGCAGCCCTGTCCGAAGCATTGTGTGGGTTGGCACTCAGCGTCTGTCCTCTCAGGATCTGGGCCAGCTCACCCAGGCCTGGGTCCCTGCAAGCTCCAGGCTACTGCCCAGAGGCCCAAGCCCACGAGTGGATCCGGGAATGTGGGGAGGCTGGCGGCTCCCACACCTGCTCGCCTCCCTCATCGTGGCTCTGTTTCCCTGGCTGGCTCTACAACCTCTGTGATTGGCTCGAGACCTGTTGGAAGCCAGTCGTGGGCAGGGAGGGCCTTGGGCTCTTTCCTCACAGGACTGCACACACAAAATCCCATAGCTGGGTGACCTATGTGGACTCAGTCCCCGCTCCTTGCCCACAAGGCTTGGCTCTTTGGAGCCCAGGGAAATACCAGTGAGAGCTGGGAGTTGGGGAGGTGCTTGGCTGGGGTGGAAATGGGGCAGAAATCAGGAAGGCATGGAGCAGCTGCAGGGGTCTCGGGGATAAGAGGTTGGGGTCCAGGCCAAGACTGGGCCCTGAGCCTGCACTTCTTTCCCTGCAGGACATCAACAACGCCTGGGGCTGCCTGGAGCAGGTGGAGAAGGGCTATGAGGAGTGGCTGCTGAATGAGATCCGGAGGCTGGAGCGGCTTGACCACCTGGCGGAGAAGTTCCGGCAGAAGGCCTCCATCCACGAGGCCTGGACTGATGGTAAGGCCACCCAGCCTCCTGGCTGTCCTGCTCCCCCACCCAGCCACCAGGCACAACTCCTTTCTTGTCTTGCTTTTGGTTTGCTTCATTTGTCTCTTACTAGTTGTCTGGCATAATTAGGCAAGTTTGTTCACCTTTTAGTTGCCTCAGTTTCTTCTGTAAAGTGGGATAGTAATAGCACCAACTTCATAGAGGTTTATGAGAATTAAATCAATTAATACAAAGTATGGAGAAGAGTTCCTGGTATTATAGTATAGTGCTATGTAAGTGTTAACTCTTTTTTCATAAAAATTAATTTTTGATAGTTCTTGTCACTGTAATTGTTTCTGTTCCCCTGCATCAGTCAGGGTGGGATTGAATCCCGACTCTGCCCCTTAAAAGCAGTGTAAATTTGGCCTGGGGACTGTATTAGTCTGTCTCTGTTGCATATAACAGAAATATCTGAAACTGGGTAATTTGCAAAGAAACAATACTTATTGCTTACAGTTCAGAGGCTGGGAAGTCCAAAGTCCAAGAAACACTTATGGTGAGGGCCTTCTCTAGTGGTGACTTCAGTGATGCAGAGTAGCACACTGCAAAAAATCCAGAAGCAAGAGAGAGAGAGAGAGACTCTCATGTGCTCTCCTCTTAAAGCCAACAGAACCACATCCATGACACCATTAAACCATCAATGAAATAATCCATTTACCAGACCATGTCCTTACAATCTAATCACCTCTTCAAGGCCCCACCTTGCATGATCATAATAGGAATTTCCTCTCACCCTGAACAGTTGCAGTGGGAATTAGGCTTCAGTGAGTTTGGGGGGACATTCAATCCACAGCATTCCGCCCCTGGCTCCCTAAAACACATGTCCTTTTCACATACAAATATATTCGTTTTATTCCCATAGCCTGAAAGTCAACTGGTCCCAGTTCAAAATTCCAAAGTCCCATCTGTGAAATCAAAACAAGTTATCTACTTCCAAGATATAATGATGGGACAAACGCAGGGTACACACTCACACTCAAAAATGGAGAAATAGTAACAAGTCTGAAAGCCAGCAGGTTAGGCTTCAAATCTCAAAGCTGAAAAATCTACCTTGGCTCCATTTCAGGCATCCTCTGCATGCTGGTGTGGTAGTTGGGTCCCCAAATCCTTGGGCAGCTCTGTTCCTATGGCTTTCCTGGTCTCAGTCCATGCTTTAACTCTCCCAGGCTGGTGTTGCATGCTGGTAGCTCTAAAGTTTTGGGGTCTCCACAGCAGTCCTGCTGTTATAGCTCCACCTGGCATGGCCCTGGTGGGGATTTTCTGCTGCAACTTCAACCCCACATTTCTGCTTGGCTTACTCTAGGGAAGGTTCTATACGTTAATTCCATCCCTGTGACAGATCTCTTCCTGGTTCCCCAGGGTTTTCTATATATCTTTGAAATTAGGGTGGAGGCTCCCAAGTCTCCACAGCTCTGGCATTCTGTGAACCTGCAAACTTAAAACTACGTGGACACCACCAAGGCTTCTGGCTTGTATCTTCCACTGCTGGTCCAGCCATGCCTGTGGCCAATTAAGGCAAGGCTGGAGCATCTGGGGTATGAGAAGCATCCTGAGGTGGCCCTGGGCAGCAAGACCGTGGAGGGCACTGCAGGCCTATTACCCAAGACTGTTCTGTCTCCCTAGGCCTCTAGGGCTGTGATGGGAGGGACAGCCTCGAAGATCTCTGAAATGCCTTCAAGGTCTTTTTTCTCTTCTGATAATCCCTTTCTTCTATATTAATATCCTTAGCAAGCAGTTGCCAGGCTACACTGTTGATTTCCTTTGTTGAACTGACTTTCTCACTGTTTATGTGGCCAGGCTGAGAATTTTCCAATTGTTTGCCCTTTGCTTTCTTTTCACTTATAAATTCTGGCTCTGTGTTATGCCTTTTCTTTTTTTTCTTTCTTCCCTTTTTGTCTTTTTTCGTGTCCGGCAACGGATCGCAACCCTCAGTGTCGCGCC